ATTGTGCAGCTATGTAATTCAAGGATCAACTGACATGTTTTCATAGAAGCCCCCATTGATTTAGTAATTTCACAACAATAAATGAGTATTCTGCTTTCTTCAATATACAACTATGGAGAATAATAACTGGGTTCTTGCACTGCTCCATACACTACCACTAAGAAACTTCAGTGAGCTAAAAATATAATTTAATATATACTGGATGGTTTCACGTTTTGTGCCTTATTTTTAAAGGTTACAGAAAAATAATTACAGGCAGCAAAGATATTTATTTCATGAACATATGGTACACTAATGGAAAAGCCGAAACACAATGAATCATTTTAGAAATAGCCATTGTTCACTAAAGTTAATCTGTGGATGGAAGACTGTGGATGGAAGAAAAATAAAGAAAGAAAAGTTACTTTTGAATCATGTTATGTAAAAGAGCTTCTGGAAATAGCAATCTTTGGACCTGCAACATAACACATTTCAGAGATGTATTTAGAATGTGCTTCTACTTTTGACATAGTGATAAATTTAGGTAATTATGCATTATTTTGTCAACCATAAAACTGTTGGACAGCAGTACAATTTAGCATCAATTATGGATAAATTTGACCTAACAATACACTCATGACATAGGTTTGATTGATTCACAATAAGCCACCTTTTGTTTTTATGAACAAGGATGTGAATTAACAGTTATTCATGTATTTTTCCTTGCATTTAAAAAAAATGATTAAAATTTGAGATATGCCATCTACAAAATAGCAAGCTGTGTAACAATTACCGGAGAGAGGTTTCTACTAATAGTTTTCTAAAGAGAACTTATGGTAAAATTGGATGGCCTAATAAAATAATAGAAAACAAAGGCAGCCTCTTTACAAAGTGGGCCAAATACTGATTGTTTATTAAATAAAGAACAGTTCTTTCAGAATTCTCCAAAAACTCAGATTTGGTGAGTTCTCTGCATAATTTCGTGATTCCATGGTGATTACTTACATGGTTGATGGGATAATATGTGAGGACAAAAATTTATTTCATAGACTTGGAAATGGTAATTTTAACTTGGATGATAAATCAGGGTTCATAGCTACATTTTAGTTAAAAAAAATAAGCACCTACAAGCACTTTTCAAGCACATTTTAAGAAAAAAAATAAGCACCTGTCTAATTACATCATACACAACTGCATAACCTTAAAAATTAGACTTGTAATTTAAAATATGAGAAATAAAGTACTTATTAAGAGAGAATAAGCATTACCTCAACCATGGAAAATAATTACTTTTTTTTTTCGTTTTTGATTTTAAATAATACTTCAATTTACAGAACTAGTTTACAATGAGAGGGAAAAAAAAATAAACTATGAAGAACTAAACTATATTACAAGATTTAATGATGAAATTTCAGTTCAAAATAGAGAAAATAAATAATAAGGTATATTTATTGCATTCGCTTGGAACCTAATAATAAATACAATTTATTTTTCCAATCAATATTGATATTTAAATAATTTAAATCTAAATTTTCATTGTATACCAGTTTTCTCTTTAACAGATATTGCAAGCAAAGTAATTTAAGTAAAAAAGAGGAACATTTCTGAAATCAGAAGACAGAAATTTGCTCATGCAGTCATCATTAACAGTAAAAGCTTAACTAACCCGCATACTTGGAAATTGGCCACAATACTCGGACACTCGAGCGTAACTTGAAGGAGCGAAGGGGGGGTAGACTGTAGCCGCTCTTTAGATTTTTCCGCTAAATAAATGCTTTTGGCATTTCGATATGTGCATCATATAAAAATAAACCAACGGAACTATAAAATATTCTGCTTAGCAAGCACAGTAGAACTCTTTTAAGTGTTCATAAACAAATCTTGGACTGAACATCAAAATTAATTATCTCTGCAAAATATCGCAAACGTTATTGCGCAATATGTGCGCCGTAATTCTTTTCTACGTGATATTACGCAATCGGAATCAACAACTGCCGGTATTAGGAGAATAAAGAACTAAATAACTGGGGTGTTTTTCATTCTAATTTTCAACAGACGGCATTAAATTTCCGGAATAGAATCATTCTTTGCTTGGGTTGGTAGAACGCACAACTTTTAGTCCTATTCAATCCAGATTGGAAAGTGACCCCCCAAAAAAGGTCCGTTGCTTGTTTTGCAGCGAACTGTAACAGTTTCAATATTCAAGATTTTGCGGAGAAAGGGGAGACCTCCCAACCTTCGTCAATATATTGGCCAAAAAAAATGAAATTATTTTGTCTATTCAATTATTTTCCCTTTATTTAAGCCATTCCAAATATTATTCCTTAGAAAGCTAATCTGTGTTAAAACACAACCATTTTTGGAAGTTTACTATACTTCAGCAGTTACTGCAACTATGTTGTTATAAACATTCATATATATGCCCATAATATAAGCATAACGATCATAATAAACACGAATATGAACTGACCAAGAAGAACGAGAATGCAAATTTTTAAGATCTTGATAGAAATTCAAACGTGTGTAGTATTTGGGTGGGAGGAAAAGAATGCCGAATGTAGCGGAATTTTCTACTGCTTTCGCAATTCTTTGACCGATAGAACGACGGGCACTTGTCTGTACTCTTCGTGCACACCAAAGGTTATGTTAATGCAGAGAAAGCGGAAAAAGCTATTTCCGGGAGTATGACTCACCATCTGACATTCCATATTAGGAAGAAAAGTTGTTTATTTATTTTCGGCTTTGGTACGGGGAAAAATAGCGTGTTCATTACACACAAAAAAAAAAAAAAAAAACAAAAAAAGACACTAAAAGCAAAAAAATAAGCACTAAAATCAAAAAAAATAAGGGCTTTAAAGAAAAAGTAAGCACCTATAAGGGCCTTTATATTTTATTTTCAAATATGAGGACTTAGAAACACTTATAAGGACCGCTACGAACTCTGTAAATCCTCCCTTGCCAGCCTTCTGGTGAAGATGACAATATCATGTGTGCTTGAGTAGAAAAGTAAATGATTTCAACTGAGGTAATTACTGAAAGGCTTAAGACTGATAATTCCTCTACTTTTCAACATTTATAGAAAACCATATTTACTTTCAAACTCTATAGACAGACAGCATAGTTTAATGCAAAAGAATATGTCAGACCTTGTCTGTACCCATATTTCTCTGCTTAATGCTATGAAAAGGATCAAAAGTGGACTTTATACATATGATTAAAAAGGAGTTCAAAACAATTAAATGGTGTTGCAAAACACGTCTGATGAATGCATTTGTTTCCATGGAATTCGAGGAGAATCATTTTCTTCATACTGCTTTCACTGAATGAAACAATCACAATGGCAAGCACTGTCAGCAGTTTACTGAACTTAAGAGATTCACAAAAAAAAAAAAAAAAAAAAAAAAAAAAAAATATGGTTTCAGGCATTTGAAAGGGTGTCATCATCTCTTGTTACAATACCAGACATGTTACCCGAGTGATGCCCTTGAAAATGATGATAAAATTGAAACTCTTTCAGCAACCATATTTTCCCAATTTTTCTGTTCTATATTTTTATCAGTTTCAGAGTCTGCAAATTGTTTGAATAGCAAAGAATTTGATTCTAGGAAAGCTAACTTACAAATTTTTGTGATAAAAATTATGCAGTTTCTATATAGAAGGATCTACACACTTGTAAAACATTGAAAGACAACTGAGTATATTACATATAAAGAAAACCTGTTTCCTTTTAGCTATGACTGCTTTATTTATTTTTCGCCGAAATTCAAAATTTTGCAATCCTCCTATATACACTCTTTTGCAAAAAAAAAAAAAAAAAAATCGAAGCACCAAGAATAAATGCTTTTGCATTTATGATGAAATTTTGTAATAAAAAAAACATCTTGATTGAACATGCAAATGACCAAAGTTTCACGGCAAATGAACAGGAATTGCAATCATAACGCGCATTTCTAGTGTGCAATTCGCAAAGTGCAAAACCAGTAACAGAGGTGGAAAATTATCTTTTTTTGTTGCTGCCATTATAATTCCATAAAGAAGCAACTAAAGATGCCATTACAATGATATCGAAGACGTTACAGACAACTAAACGACTCGAACATGGTCGCATTGTAGGATTGCGTGAAGCTGGGTGGTCATACCGAGCAATAGGCCACCACCTGCAGCATACAGACACTGCTGTGCAAAGATGTTGGCAGCAATGGTTGCTACAAGGAAATTGCTGACGAAATGAAGGCTCTGGAAGGCCAAGGAGCACAAATGCAAGGAAAGATAGGATGACTGTTCGCCAGGCCAAACTGCCCCAATGGTATCATTGTCGAATATTCAACGCACTACAGCCACTTCTATACTTCCCGTGGTATCGTCCACTATCTCACAGTGCTTGTCTGAGGCGGGGTTATGCTCACAGAGGCCTTTAAGACGTTTGCCTTTGACCCCACAACATCGGCGGAGGCATCCGGAATGGTGTCACATCATGGTTGCATTCAGACTGGCATCGTATAGTGTTCATCTTGCTTCACACTTAAAGCAGATGATCACCGTGTTTGTGTCTGGAGAGGACGGGGCCAGCGGTCCCAATAGCATACAGCCATAATCCCTGGTGTGATGGTGTTGGGTGCTGTTTCTTATGACAGCAGGTCATCCTTAGTCATCCTCCGTACATCTTTAACAGCTCAACGATATGTTGATACCATCCTGCATCCGGTTGCATTGCCCTTCATGGCACGTCATCCTGGGGCAATTTTCCAACAAGATAAAATGACCTTGATTTTTTTAATCATTTTAGTATCTGTGTATGAGCTATACACATATTCAATTTCATCAAAAACAACCACTTCTTTCATGGTGCTTCGATTTTTTTTTTTTTTTTCTTTTTTTCAAAAGTGTGTATATGACATTAAAAATTAAAACACATAATATAATCTCAGAGTATAAACACAATTAAGATGAAATTTTACAAACACTGAATAATAGAGGAAAAGAAAAACAGTTCAGGTGAATTTTACAATGAAATGTCTTACCTCAAGAAACGACACTTTTACAACAAAATCTGATGTGTTAACTTTATTATGTATACCCAAGAAAATGTCATTCAAACCTCGAGGAATTATTCCAAGTTCAGAAAACGTAGCAGTTTTTCGTGAAGCATAATCAGTTCCCATAGTGTATGTTTTACCAGATCCAGTCTGTCCATAGGCTAATATTGTAAGATTATAACCTACAGTCAATAAATAAAACAAAAAACATAAGTATACACTACAATTTAATAAGTTATTCTTAATTTAACAAATGATGGCAGTTATTCGAAGAAGTTTTTCCCCATATTTAAAGCATGACATCATTTCAATTCCTAATGAAGCAAGTGTATGAAAAAGCAAAACTGTGATTTTTTTCTGTTTGTACAAAGTTGAAAATAAGTAGCTACTGGATTTATTTTTTAAAATTAAAAAGAATTTCACCAAAAACTGGTCTCAACACTGCAGGTTTGGAAATATCTGCGATAGTGAAATACAGTCAAAAGTCGTTAATTCGGACACCCATAATCCGGACATCAAAGCTGCAAACTTTCTGCGCACGCGTCGAGTTGATGTATGCGCATAGGCATTTACACGTGCGCGTAAGACCTTTACAGCTGCGAATATGCGTGTGCGCATGCGCATAATACGTTTACGCATGCCCATTTAATGTATAACGGATGGTTAAGCTAAACTAAAATTATCTAATTCAGTTAATGTTGCAGACTGCGTTGTTCCGTAATCTTCGAATTGGATCCGGCTTATTATTTTTTTGCAGACTGTTAGAGCAATTTATAAAAGTAAGCTTGAACTTTCGATTATGTGAAATAGAATTTCCAATATATATTTATGTAAAGGATCTACAAAGCGAAAGTATGTTTCGAAGTCCATTACACAGAAAAAAGGAATTGCTGCAAAAAATGTATAAAGGCATATACTTTGATTATCTAATCATTCCGAAATATGTTTATCAATTTCACGCTGCTCTGCGGGGGGAGGGAAACGACGCGGCGGGCAATGAATTGGAAGTTGATCTGTCAGCACTATCCTTATCTTCAGGGCAGATGTTTTTATTTTATTTGGCTTATAATTCCTTACTAAATGTAGTATTTCATCTCGATGTACTCCGTCTTTGATATGATTTAAATCAAATTCTTCGCCATTATAATTCGCTTCCGATAGTGAAAAAAGTGACACAGAGGTTATTGAAAATGAAAATATTTGGATTGACAAATTAGTCGGTATTCTCGACACAGCAATTATAGGACTTGAACAGCGGAGCTTTGTAACTAAACAAGAAATTATGTCTGTTTAATAGAATTAAAGAGAAAGTATTATCACATGAAACGAAGCAACTTAAACAACTTGAAAGATTGAATAAGTTGAAAGGAATGTTTAATAAAGTAAACAAATAAATATTTAGCTTTTCTTTTTGTAAATTTTGATACCCTTTAGATCATAATTGCTCTTTATTTCATAAATTACAGTTCATATTTTTAATTTTATAATTTCTGCTGCCATCTTACCAGATTTAAACTGATTATCTATAATCCGGAAAAATTGATAATCCGGAATCGCTAAAGTCCCGACGAGTCTGGATTAACGACTTTTGACTGTATTCCTTATGCTTTAATTAGTTAGACTTTAAGAAATTCCATAACTTTGCATTCAGTATTTACAGTGAACATAAACTTTCACATAAAATAAATAGTTCAGCTACTATAATCAAAGCTGCTTTATTCTATACAGAAACATTAATTGCCAAAACAAATAACTTGAATTTTGTTTCTGCTGCCTAAACTGTTCTAAAATTGTCCATTAAATCTGCTATCAGACTGAATAACAAATTTCCAAAAGAATGCATCAAACATCAATTCTAAACATAAACACAGTTAAGAAGTCAAATAACAAAATTCAACGTTATATTTTCAAATTTTCGCAGGACTAGTTTCCATGGTTTTACCGAAACATCATCCTCGGCTGCAAAAGCGCAAATGAGCGAGATAGGATATAATGATTAGATAAGATAAGAAAGCCTGGGCAGGAGACAAACTACTGGCGCCATCTGTTGTTGAAACCAGAACTAAAACGTAATTTCTTTAAAGGTGGATTGGAATTAGGGTCATTAACTAGAACAGAAGGATTTTTTGAATGTGAAATGCCTTTAGAAAATCCAGTTCACCAATGGAAGATGTTTTTTGAATAATTTTGGCAGCAGAAAAATTAAAGTGCGATTTTCGGACCAACAATGCTGGGCAACAGAAGACTTCTGTGTTTCCTTTTTTCTAACATATGCCTCATGTTCCTTGTTTTAAGGCTCTCTTAGTTTGGTCAATGTAAATTAAACCACACTGGCAAGGAATTCTGTAAATACCCCAGGAATTCATATCCGGAATGCGGTCCCTGGGTACGGAACTCTGAATTTTATTGATGGGAGAATAAACGACCTGAAAGTTAAATTTCTTCAAAATACGTGCAACTTTATAGCTAATTGATGGAAAGAAGGGAATGACAACAGAATTTTTATAATCTCCTAAAACAAGAGTGTGCCTTTTAGTGTGTTGAGATGAGAATTTTTTAACTGCTTAATTAATAATGTTGGGTGAAAAGCCCCTGTCAATAACTATTGCTTTTAAATAATTTAGATCTTCATTAAGGGATAGTTTGGAGAAACATTTAAAAATTTTTTTAAAAAATCTAAATTAAATTTTGTACATTATATTCATCCTTCAGTACATCATATTTTCATCTACAAAGAGAGTGTGTGAAAAATTTGAGCTTGCTAGCTTAAAGCCGCGTCCACACTGATCCGTTGGAGCGAAAAGTGGCAACTTTGCTGTGGTGGTACTAAATGTTTTCAATTTTTGTTTAGATGGTATGCATTAGTAAAAAACATTGAGACCACTGCACTGAAATCAGCCTAGATGCTGTCTAGTTGTAAATTTACAACCCCTTTTTTCATGGGGGATCTGAAAAGGAGGGATTAATCTTGCTCGGGGTCGTGAGAAAATGTGAGGACTGTTTAAATATCTAACTTCTCTGTATTCAGTTTTATACAGAGCAAAAACAAATTGAATTCTTCGAATGAATGCAATTTTGTACAATGAAAATGTATTCTTGAACGATAAACTGTAAAGCAAATAACGTCTTTTTCCTAAAGCCATAGGAATAGAAAGACAGATATTTGTTACATCGATGAATTTGTAGTAAATATTGAGTTTTGCATTTCGAGTGCTATGTTACGTGTATGTGGAGTATCTGAGAGAATAGTCTTAACCCAAATGGCTTTCAACTTTATCAAGCCTAAGGACTGTTTTTCAATAACTTTGTGGTCGCTGCTTTTTGGTTAATTTTCTAATGACATATAAACATTAACTTGTTTTTATTTGAGATTTATGAATAAAATAAAGCAAACTAGACTGCAGAAAATCCTTCACAATGAAGTCAATAACGCTGAAAAATACATTATTGATGCACTTTCTTGTTTTATATGTAGTAGTTAATATGGAATCCTTAAATTATATATATCTATGTATAGGTAAATATAAATGGAACAAAATATAGAACAAGGTGAAAAATATCTTTAATATACAATGTTCATTACCACACATATATTTATGGAACATCAATATAAATCGTACATGTATGATTTATTTTTATATTTTGTACTTTCTTTATTATATTCAGTATTGTATACATATCTGAAGTTTAATTTTACTGGTTGTTCTTTTCGGTTATGACTTTAAGTGAGAAAGAATTGTTAGGACCTTTATAAGGATTAAATTATATACAATCAATTAAGATCCGACTTTTCCTTTCTTTTAATAATTATACATATATATAATATTTTATAAGTATACATAAAATATAGCAGTTTTTTAAGCTACATATTTATATATCTACTGTTTGGTCTGGTTTGATTGATTACAGCAAAGCATTTGGCGACTATTTGCCTTGGGGTAAAGATGCCTCGTGGAGAACTTTCTAAGCAAAACTGACTCGTATGCACGTTACACATGAAGAAAACTATGAAAACGCCAATACAGCCACGACGTTCATCAGGATTCGAACCCTGGGTCGACCTACCAGTGTTCACCGACTTTACTGCTCAGCCGCTAGTGAGCTCCCCCACACACATACACATGCACATTCAATTATATTTACACACCGTTTATAAAGTATAATCAAGTGCAATTTGAAATGATGGAATGGCAATATCAATTTGTTAATTCATTCCTAGTTTCAAATCGGATTAATGGACTCGCCCAAAAAAAAAAAAAAAAAAAATGACACATTAAAATATGGTCGCTGAACTAAAGTGAGCTATGAAAATTTCAACGAAGGTTTCGTATCTTATAAAAACAAAGTATCAGAATCTAATTAAATGTTTTACTTCTTAGAAAAATAGAAAATATAAATATTTGTGAATAAAAAGAAAATATCTTTAAAAAAATAAAATTTTAATTTACAAAAATATAAGAATTACAAAATATTGCAGAAATTAAACAAAATAGCGAATAAACTTATTCATCACAAGCTCGCTAAATGTAAATTAGATTTTACAGTCAGAAAGCTCTCCTTGTCACAGAAATATACTGTTCATTAGGTGTAATGGTTATTCAGACTAAAGTACGAAGTTCAGTGAGTGGCATGTAATTTCCTTTGAATGAATAAACTAGCCAAAAAAAAAAGGGAGGGCACTTGAAAATTAGATGCAAAGTTAACAAATGGATTGAACGAGCCCTCCTACAGCCTACCACTATGTGTAAGGATTTTCGTGGATTTCCTTAAGGTATATAAATATGACCCCATTTGCCTTAGAAAATTCTCCATGAAATCATGCCTAGCCAACCCTTGTATGCTTTGCCATATTCAATTAAATAAGCACACAAAATCAAAACTAGGATACTTTCCATAAACATTTAATGCTAATTAGTGCTGCTCAACTGAAATTGTATCGAATTGTTTGTTTATAGTAGTTCCTTTCAGCCATGTGACTTACATGTATGTAATGCTCGGGGGGGGAGGAAATAATGTAATAATGAAATGTTAATAAACAAATAAATATAATCATCAAATTCATTTGATAATTATAATTTAATTTGCAGTTATAAGGAGATGCATGCTATTTATAATCCGCAAAAGTGCATACTAATATTATTAAACTGTTTAATAAATACATAAGATAGCACTTCAAAACTTT